AATACACAACAATACTATATAATTAGTATAACTGAAACAAAACTAGCTATATCTACATATAATAGCCTACATACAAGCAACTTTTACTATTAATATATTATATGAATTTGTAATTTAATAAATTATACCTATGTATAATAAATTTTCTTTTAAATATATCTCTTTTAACTATTAGTAAATTATAGATTAGTCTATACAAATTTAATTTATTAGTTTTTGTAATATAGAACTTCTTAAATAAACCTAGCTAACTGACTTTTTTTTTAATTTTATATATAAAATTTATAAAAAATTTTTTAAAAACTTATCTGGTTATTAAAATATAAAAAATTTTTGTAAAAATTTTTAAAATTTGACCTAGCTAGGTTACAAGAACCAATTAATTAACTTTGTATAACTTTAAAATAATTTTGATTATATCTAAAAAATTATACTAATTTTAGTAATACTATTCTTTTTTTAACATATAATCTCAGATTGGTGCTTATATTATTGTTAATAAATTTTTAAAACCTTATTTATTATAGACTTTTAAATTGATATAACCTTTATCTGATTGAATTTCTATATACTATAGAAGCTTTTTAATCTATCTCTATAAATTAATAACTAATTTATTATACTATCAAATATAATTTGTCAAATGCAATAGATCTTGAAATATATAGTTACTTTATTATTATATGTAAATTCGATGTTAAATTTGGTATATTATTTTGGTAATTAATTGAGCATAGTATAGTTTTGCCTCTACTACTGTATATATAGTCTCAACTATGTAGTTATGAGGAATTCTATATTGATTCAGTTTTGATGTATAAGCGAGAATGTTTTTTGCTAGGATAATTCCCTTCTGAATAATATAATATGTAAATTTATTGCATGATGTTTTGGCTTCGATTAAATAGAACTCCTTGGATAGTTGTTTGTTTCAAATATTTTGTTTGTCGAATGCAAATATGAAAAAAAGATTTTATATTGATTGATATATTCATCGTTTTAACTATCATAAGATTATTTATATTATGTAATTAAAATTACACATACAGTATCGATATTATCATTATATTTTTTAATTTTTAAACTATAGCGTACTTAGACTAATAATTATCGTTTATAAACTGACTCATTTTGATCCAATAATTATCAACTGACAGACTCATTTCAATCGATAGTTCAATATTTATTCAGGGGTAATTATGCAAATCCTGAAGATAACGGAATTCGCGAAGTTAAGTATCACGAAGGACAAAAATTACTACATACGTATCCTTAATATTACTCAAATAAGTAATAATCTAATTTTCAAAATAATTCTACGTATTTATTTTTAGCAACAAAAAAAATACGTACGTACGTACTTGTTTTTGCTTAATCTTGGTTTAATTGCTTACTCTCGACCTTAATATTAAGTAAAAAAACAAGTAATTTTTAAAACAATACATTTTCCGTCTCTAATCTAAATATTGTGGGAGTCAGTGATTATTTTTCGACGTGCGGACTGTGCGCAACACACCGAAAACAAAATTTTGCGCACATTTTCTTTTGAACGGACGTGCGGATGCCGCATAGGAAAAATTAACATTTTATAAGTAGTGCGCACACTTGTAAGTAAATAGTTGCTCATACGCAGTTTTTCTTTATTTATTACAAAGTAAAGTTTCCAAATTATGCGGTATCTGCAATTTTAACTAAAAAATTATCACTGGTGGGATTATCCGCATGCAATTCGTGATCATGTTTTACAAGTCATCATTGGACAACTAAATTTTAGAGTTTACGTTTATCATTATCGTGTCATTGTTACTATTTTATTTTTAAATATATATAGTCGAGTTTATCCGATTATCTGTCAAATAAAAAAAAATCCATTTATTTTGAATTGATAAAGCATATCTTACTTCTAGGTATTTAAATCAATAAGAAATTTACAAGTTTGTGGTTTTACGGATATTCATTTTTTCGTAAATCATGTTATACAAAATATTCTAAGAATTCCGATTCGTATTATTTTTTTTTTTTGCGCAGACGGAGTGAAAGTTCCCGTTAAGTGTGAGAATTAATCAAGATTATCCAATCAGGCTACATCTTGACGCAAATATAAAGTTTATATAAAGTTTGCTACATCAAGCGTGGGATTATTTTTTCAACTTTTTTCAAAGATGATTAAAGGCAAAAGCAGGTACATAAAAGAAAATAGTTATAATAAATTCAATTTATTAATAAAAAAATAAATAGATGAAATACTTTAAAGAGATAATTTTAATAACCTGAATTGTTTATACATTCTTTTTTTTTTTAAAAATGTTAATAGTTATACCACACGGAGTTATCATAGACCATTTTCAGGTAGTTGGAAACGTAATTCAACCAACCGACAAAATGGTACAACTTCTACAGAAGTTAGAGCTAAACAAACATATTCCAAAATGAAATTTGGATTTACTTTATTGAAGATTGATGAAAATGAAAATATTGAAGATATAAAATATCGATTTTATGAATTTTCAAACAAAGATATCGCAAATCAACCACGTGAAGATGCAATTATTCGATTTTCCGAATTTATAAATAATGATATTATAAATGAATCAGATCAAAAACCGAAATATATTGTAAAAAGAGCACCAGAAAATTCTTTTAACAAAGATAATGATGCTATTGATGATTTGGCAAACAGATTAAAATATGGATTATTATTGCCCTCGTTAGAATTTGATTCTTTTGGTACTTCAGATAAACTTGAAGAATGTGTAAAAGGCATTTCTCATGAAATAAAAGAAATTGATCCTCAATTTTCTCTTCAAAAGAAACAATTGAGAATCTGTATCTTTTTTGGTCGTGAAGTGTTTACAAAAATTCAAGAGATGGAATTTGATGTGAAGCGTTGGGCCAGATTTAAAAGAAATGGAGAAGGTTCCCTTTCAACTACATACACCCATTATCATTTTTCCAAAATAATCGATAAGATTGATCAAATCAAAGAAAGGTTTGGATTAAAAGAAAGAGATGAAGATCATGATAAAGACAAAAGAAGTATTAGAGTATTTTATACGAAAAAAGAAAAGAAGCATAAATTGAAGTTGGAATGGATTGAAGGTCAATATAAATTTAAGGTTGAAATTTTCTTTTTGAATCTAATATTAAAGTTTTCAGTGATTAGATGTTTGGAAAATCACCAGAGCAGCAGCAGCCGTTGAACGTGTTTGTAAGTTCTTGTTCTTGCAAGAAAATGCTATTTTGTTAAAAAAAATAAATTAATTCATTTTTTTCAATTTATTTTATTAGCTTGCGTCGACATTATTTCAGGATCTGATGATCCCGATTTAAGACTTTCCGTAAAAAGTCAATATGATTACAAATGGGAAAGCTATTTAGACAATATGGTGAAAAAATTACAAGAGAAACCCAAAACTAAAAATTTTGATGGATTGTGGTTCACCTGCAAAGATTTTTCCGATTTTCCCCCCGGTATAGAATGTGTCTGCGTCCAACAGACATTTAAGAAACGATGTTTTTAGTATGTACATTCTATTGAACTTTTAAGTTTTATTGATGTTTGAATTTAACTCGTTCTTTTTTTTTTAAAGTAATGACAAGTTTCAGCTCACTATTGATACAACATGTCGTGATAACGGGGGCAAAATTAAGAACGAAGATTCTATTAGTGTAAAACATCTTTCTTGGCGAACCAATGATGATTTTGATTTCGAAAAGACTGTTTTTGAAACGTTTGATTTCGCTAAAGAAATCATTAATTTTGTTAATTAACATTATTCTATGTTGGTTAATTAACCTTATTCTACTTTGCATTATATATTGATATTTGCGTATAATTTTTAACTCATGCTAAATATTGTAGATATTCTTGAAAGTTTTGTATATTTATATAATTATATCTAATAAAATTAGGACATAAACTCTGCAAACATGTTGTCCACTGATCTGTTTTGGTTGACAAAAATGACCGCCTCGCAGTACTATAATTTTTGTATAATCTTTTATTTCACATGACTGGATTGCCTAGCGTTAGTGCGTTCATAAATAGTGAGTAGGTTGTGTCGGTAAAGTCTGTTGCCCGAAATATACAATTTACCTGAGTAATCTGATCATACCTGAATATAACCTGAATAGTGATTTTTTCAACGGATAGTACAAATTACAAAATTGTTAAATGTTACGAATATTTTCTATTTATTGATTTTCCTATCTCAATTTATCATAGTAAGTATAACACGTTTATTTTAATTAGGAATATTGGGTAAGCATTGGTTATGACGTAATGTTTACCCAATATTCTTTATCGGGTATAAATAAGTCCAATTTTCACACGTTTGAGTAAGATAATGTCAACGACAAAATGTCGCGGAGCACAAGAAATTCGAAAAACGTACGAGGTTTCGTCTGAAACATTAAGACGGTGGAACAACCAAGGAAAAATATCAAGCATCAGAACGTCTGGTGGAAAAAGGCTGTATTGTTACACAACCAGAATTAGATATGTGTACTGTGGTGTAACCATTACATCTTCGAGACAGGGACAGTGGTGGTTAAAACTAAATTCTGTATGTGTTAATGTGGTGTTTCTATCAACGTATAAATAAAAATTATTTTCAACTCATTTTTTCAATTTTCAACAGCAGCATCTGTTATAGATTATTCTTATTCATCTGTGCAAGATTTATATGATGCTATTCTTAATACATTGTTTCCAATCATTTTTGTCATTTTATTTAGTGTTAACATGATTATAAATAAAAATTTATTTATCAAAAATTTTCCTAAACAATATAATTCCGTAATTGTCCTAGGAACACGCTCGTAATTTACGTTAATTTAGTGTCTACCTTTCCGGGAGTTCCCGACGCCCAGTCTGAATTTATTGACCAATCCCTACAATATTTTATAATTCTGTGGTATTTTGCACATTTTGTAGAATTCTGTGACATTCTGTGGTGACTAAGGGTGATTTTTGTAGTTGGCTGCGATTAAAAGAAATTCTGTGGTTTTCTGTGAAACACAGAAAATCACTGTCCCTGCTTCGAGATGCAAAGTAGATAGTAATATGTAGTAATTAGTACAGACGCATAAAATATCCAATTAGTAAACAATCTGTTATGCAAAGAGAGGCGACAGTATAGTAATTAGTGCATATGCATGAAATATGTAGTCATTAAATAGTCATTAGTCATTAGTGTTAGTAATCGTTTGAACAATGGTAGTAAAGGGAATGAGATACAAGTCACTCTCGTTATAGTGAAGTTGTTGGGCTGAAGAATTTTCTTCACTATATCGAGATATTTACTATATCGAAAACTCTTAATATAGTAAAGTTTATATTTAAAATCAAAAATCTTCATTATATCGAGAGACTTTTATATTTTAATATAATGAAGTTTATATATAAATTTAAAATCTTCACTATATTGAAAGAATATTTAAATTGATATAATTGGTTAAAATTATTTTATATATAAATCTTCACTATATTGAGAGTAAATTTATTATAAATGTACTGTATTTTTTTAAAAAAATTTTCACTATATCTTATATTGAGAGTTTATTATTACAACTTCATTATATCGAGTGAAACATTAATAGTTTTGGTTTTGTTCTTAAAAAAATCTTTACTATAAGCCAATATTCACTATATCGAAGGTTCACTATAACGAGAGTGACTTGTATAAAGGAAAAAGAGAAAAGGATAGTTAATATGTAGTAATTAGTACAGTCGCATAAAATATACAATTAGTAAACAATCTGTTATGCAAAGAGAGGCGACAGTATAGTACAGTAGAAACTGTGATCTAAAAATAGACCGTGATATCAACGGAGCCAGAAATATTTTTCTTAAAAATGTATTGGAACATATGATGTTCTAACCTGGGACTTGAACCATTATGGGATACGATACGTTATTCACTGATTAGTTTTTACTAACTTTGTTTACTCGTATTGGATTCAATTTCAAGGGATATAATTCTTATTTCAATCGAAACTTTTAAATGTGATCAAATAATAACGTTCCGAAATAACATGGTGTAAATATTAATTTGTTAATACGCATTATTTGGATAAAAATATTTGTAATCATTTAAAATTTCATACAGTTTCTATAATGACAAATATGTGCTATATAATAAATTTAAGAGAGATTTAGAATACATAGGTAGAGATTTTCCTCGCGTCAGATAAAACTAGCATACATTTCACATTATCACGCGATTTCGCGCGAATTACGTGATAAAATTTTTAGTGAATGGTGTTAATATTAATAAGTTTTACGTTGTAGTTAGTTGTAGTTTCTATATTTAATTTGTATTAGTCTCTTACTAATAATGTAGCATAAAAAGGACATAGTCTAATTATTTATCTTTATAGAACTTTTATAGGAAAAACCATTGAAATTTTTAATCGACTAGTTTATCTCACGCGAAATCGCAGTCTATACGCGCGATGTATATATAATTTTTTTTTCATCAGATTATTATCAAGCGCTCTTAAACTTTATTCTATTTCCCAAGAATATATAATAAACAAACAAAAAAAATAAATAAATTATTTATATATTGTAGTCACGAAATTTTTTTATTACTTTCAAGATATCAAATCCGAAAAAAAAAAAACAACAAAATCTATACATTCAAACAAAATATTTTTGTTTCATCTAGTGGTATTATATTAATAAATCTCTCCCTATTTAATCTTTTAATCCAAGTTTCCTAAATTTAAAAAAAATCAATATAACGATAATAAATTAAAGTGGTTAATAAATAAAAGATATTACGTTACCATTGTTCATATTGAATTTTTATTTTGCTTTGAGTATTGCCGGCTTGAGATGGATTTATGAGGTGATACTGTGAATTTATATAATCTATGAAATAAATAAATGATGATGAATAAAAAAAAACTTTGTAATATCTTTGCAAAGAAATTTATAAATTGAAAAATACATTCAATATCTTCTCGCGTCATCTTATTTTCCAAGTTTTGTACAAGAGTCATTGTAGGAATCAATCTACTAGTATAAACCGCATCTTTATGCCTATTAAATTCACCAGTCTCAAATATCCCATCATCATTTGTCTCTATCATCCCAATTCTTATATTTTCAGCATCTCTAAAATCTCTTAAAGTTTCTAAATCAACACGATCGCCGATAAGATTAGTACATGTCAAAGCGTACCACCTATCCAATATGATTTTCAAATCATCGCAAGTTGGTCGTTTTGCAGGATCAGGATCCCAACATTGTTTCATTAACGTAATCCAACATTTAGGATGTTGAACATTGTTTAAGGAAGGACGAAGATTATTTGATACCACAGATGAAATTAAAGAGAGAGTATGTGGAATTTCATGAAATGGTTGTTTGAGAGTTAATAATTCATACATTATCATTCCGAAAGAATAAATGTCCGAAGCAAAAGAGTGTGGACAACCATTTAATACTTCAGGCGCTATATATGGGATCGCACCATATATATATTCATTATTGTTCTTAATATAAATATTATTATTATTATTACTACTATTAATACTATCACCACTGCTATTTCTATCAAAACTTGAAGATTCTTCTTGATAAAATTGTCTATTATTTGGAAGATTTAAACCAAAATCCGAAACCATTGGATACTTTTTTCCCATTAGTATATTACCGCTATGAAAATCACCGTGTATTAAACCAGTTTTATGAATTATTTCAAGACCTTGAAGGATTTTTAATAAGAAACTGATTCGAGTTGGCCAATCAATATTTAAATGATGATTTATAAGGTAGTTTCGGAGGCCACCATTTTCAGCGAATGACATTACTATTATGTATTCATTGGTTTTTGGATCTTTGCTTATTCCAAAACAGTGAACCACTTCGAAAGAGATTTTTTGACGAGTTACTGAGTGTAATGATTTCAACTAGACATATAGTAAAAATATGAACAAATAGAGATTTTTAGCTTAAAATGCAAGCACTTAAAAAAAGTAACCAGTGGATAAAACCAATAGATCTCACGCATACCACATTCAAAATATCATTAGAAGAGTATTCAGTTTCTTTCAATCTTTTTAAAGCAACAGCATGTTCACCTCTTCGCTTCCAATTATTTCGTTTCACATCCCAGTTATAAATTTGCCCATCTTCCCAAATAGCAAAAAATATTTCACCAAAACCACCCTGAGCTACAAATTTAAAGTTCTTAAACCTTTCAAAAGGTATCCATTCTATTACTTGTTCACTGCATTCTGCTTGTAACTGAATTTCTTGAATTAATCGATCTAGAGAAGGATTATTACTAGACCAATTCGAAAAATTATCAGAAAAATGAGAGGAATTACAACTTTGACACCAATTCCAATACGTTGTCATAGTTGGTTTGCGACATTCAGCACAGACTTTACCCTTGACTTTTCTCTTCTTAGAACTCTTTTTAGAACTACGGAATTTAGTGATTCTTTGACCCATTTTTTATTACTGTATTAAAAAAAAATATTCGAATAGGTATGTAAAACGTTAAGGTCTTATTCGAGATATTATCCGAGGTATGATTTGAGATATTATTTGAGATATTATTGAAGATATTAATCGAGGTATTATTTGAGGTATTATTCGATGGGAGCAAACGTAATAATAATCGAATATTGCTCTCTGCAGGGTATTAGCGTGTTTTAACTTTAAAGTTTAGATCAACCGTAACAAATTAAAAACTTGAGGTTGTACTTAATTTTGTTTGTTTTTTCAGAAAATACATTAACGTTTACTTATTAGATATTTCTATATCTATATATATATATATATAAATTATAGACGCTATCAAAGCTGTCTTTTTTTTTCACAAATTGTCAAAATTGTGAAGATAGCGATGGAAGAACAACCCACCAAACTATATCTTAATAAGAAAAACAATGTTAATAAAAGGTTTATTTAGGATAAGATAATTCCTGTATATGCTAGGTATATTTTAGTATTTGTACACACAAACATATGTAAAAAATATGTAAAAAAAAGTGACGATTAATTTTTATTTGTAAGCCAAAAATATTTATTGTTTC